GTGTGTGTGTGTGTGTGTGTGTGTGTGTGTGTGTGTGTGTGTGTGCGCGCGCGCGCGCGCACACACACACACATGCAGTGCATGTGGACATTCTTTGGGGAATCAGTTCTGTCCTTCCGCTATGTGTATCCCGGGAATAGAACTCAGGTCATCAGACCGGGAAGCAAGTGTCTTCATCCACTGAGACATGTTGCTAACTATACATTCATTACATTTTAAAACGCCAGTTGAAGTCTGTTTTCTAAAGAGATACACTAATAGTTCCCAAATAATAATAATAATAATAATAATAATAATAATAATAATAATAATAAATAGTAACTAAAGTTAATGTATATCATAAAGTGATTATGTGTTCTACACTTGTCTAAATTATGGAAATATATTGGTGCAAAACAAATAATGTGTTCAAACCATTTGTTTCTTAAAATGAATTAATTAAAAGTTATTTGCTTTTATTTGTTTTAATGCCTATCCTTGCTTCAAAATTTGGAAATTCTCAAAAATTAGCAAGCAACAGCATAACATTGGGTTCCAGATTTCTAATTCAAATATTTTGTCAATAAAAATAAGAAATGTTCAGAAAATATTTTAGAAAGTCCCAAGGGTTATAGTTTTATATGTGTTCACAATTTTGAAATTTCTCTTCTCTTACCTTTCGTCTGTACTTAAATATGGCATAGTCCCATGGATGCTCTATGGTGTGACTAAAGAGGAAAAGTTTGCTGTTAACTTGGCTAGCCTTGCTTTACCCAAGGACTGCAGCAATAAAGACAAACACAGAAATGTCTTGTTTCATGGAGGTCTGTAAGGGAACACAATTATCTGTGCTCATCTGGACAAATGTTGAAATGATTGGTCGAATTTGGAGTGAACAGTTTCTTCCTGTACCTAGAAGTAAAAGCCTGTCCTACTAAGCATCCCCAGACAGAACGCTCTTCAGAGACCATATGAACTCTCCAGTCCTGTTGCTGAGAGCGTCTTTATGAAGAAATCCTTCCTTCATTCCAAGCCCAAATACTCTACTCCTTTCTCCAAGTCATTGTCTTGTTCTCTTCTTAGCACCAAGTGAAATTAGCTGGACAGAATTAGCTGGACAGATAGTTTGTTATATCATTTAAAACTTGAAATAAACTATGCCTTGAGTTTTATTAAACCATTTCAGAATTATGTTTACCCTTTGTTTACATTTCTTTTATAAAGAAAGATGTTTCACTTGTAAGTCTCAAAGTCTCATTAACCTGCCAATATGCAGTGGTTAAAGTAACATTAAGATGATTAGGATAACTGTCTTTACTTCTAGTGCATCTGTGACATGCCAGTCATGTTTAATATGGCATGACCCTCACTCTTAAGAAACTCACAGTCCCTAGACCAGGTATGATGATTCACCCCTTTAATGCCAGCACACGTAAGGCAGAGGCAGACAGAGGCAAACTCTCTGAGTTTGAAAATAGTCTGGTCTACATTCTGAGTCTGAGTTTGAAAATAGTCTGGTCTACATACTGAGTTCCTGGCTAGCACAGGCTGAAGAGTAAGTAGTGAGACCATGTCTCTTAAAAAAAAAAAAAAGAAAGAAAGAGAAGTCTACAATTCTCTAATCCAGTAGATACGAGACACAAGATGTTGTAGGGTAACGCTGTAAGACAGAGCAGCAAGAAAAAGCCAAGAAAGATGGACAAGATACAGTCTGAATTCAGTGTGAACTAGGACCACTGAAAGCTCACAGTGAAATCTTTTAAAGCAATAGGAGACATAAAAACTGTGTCACGCTTGAAGACTTGAAAAGTGAAAACAATTAAGGTGAGGAGACAGCTGGAGGGGACAGAGAACTGGAGGCACAAGAGTCAAGAGTTGAGTTGAAAAGAAGGTCGAGGCCTGGGTTATAGAACAATTTTCTGCAGCGCTCAAGCCTCAGGACTTTGGCCAGCCAGAGGTACAAGGAGAAAATTAACAAGGCCAGACAACTGTGTGTGGATGCAAAGGGCAGGCTGGAAGAAAGGAAGGAGTAAAGGCAAGAAAACCAACCTCCAAACCTGTTCCCAACCTCTGTGGCAGCCGCCGCCTGAGGAGCCAGGAGCACGGGGGACAGGAATGACAACAGGTCAGAGATTTGAGATGCTTCTGAGAGACAGAATGAACAACTCAGTAACTGCAGGGCTTTGCAAAGAACTGAAAGGACAGTGCAAACCAAGAATTTCCAGCTTGGACAGCAATGTGTCTTCATTTAGAAAGAGCAGAACTACAGAGACACATTTGTTTCAGCCAGACAGGGTGGTGGTGCATGCCTGTAATCCCAGCATTTGTGAGGTGGAGGAAAAATCAGAAGTTCAAGATCCTCCCTGATCATCCATGATAGTGAGTTTGAGGCCAGCTTGGAAACTTATAAGACCTATCTCAAAAATATAAATAAAAATAAAAGTGCGAATCCGTAAAACCAAAGTCTTTCCTATGTGAACTCTCTATAGAGTTTCATATTGATTTAAACAGTGTTTTTCACCAGTACACAGTAGAAGGCGAGGGGAGATTCCAGAGGTATCCTCAAGAGCATCTTTGTGGGGCGTTAGGTGAGAAGATGGAGGAGACAGCAGAGAAGAGATAGAAGATGGAAATAATAATAAGATGGTGGGTGTGGCTGCTCAGAGCCTTGCTGATCAGAACACTAACCAACACTCATGTGAGTCTCAAATGAAAGCAAGTAATTTAACTGAAGGTAAAAATTCACTTCTGGGGTCCCACTAGCCACACATCATCAGCTTAACAGATGGACAGTGCGGGGAGGAAGAAGGGAACCAACAGGAAGCAAGAAAGGAGAAGGGTCACATTGCTGTCACTGAGGGTTTGATGGATGAAACACTCAAGAGTGAAAGCTGATAAAGACAGAGAATGAGAACAGGAATAAGAATCACCTTCGGGTATTGTGTTCTATCCTGGAAGCTGGTACAGTACTGAAATCCTCACCAATTTATTAGGATACGAAATGATCCAATGAGACTTCATTCATTCACTCAGAGGACAGGTTGAGCTTGTAGGAAAAAAAAAATTCAAGAACCTCCACAGGAAAGGAAGTGGTAGAAACACGACCGGCCCCTTCCCATGCTTTCCGCAGGAAGTGTGCCCTTGCATCGCTGCTGTCCTTGGCCATTGTCCTTCTGAGAGTTTGGAAGGTCTCTAGTTTTTAAGGCTGAAGTCTCAGGAATATGTTTCAGAGATGTGTGAAATATTTGTACCCAGATACCAAACAGCACAACAAATTCTCTTCTTTGATCAAAATAAAGGAGACAGAAGAACGTTTGCAGGGGCTGAGGAGACAGAGCTCTTGCTTTGTGAGTATAGGGTTTCGGGGATAATTGAAAATTCCGAACTGTCTTGATGATACTCCGGCCATCAGAATGCACTTAATGCCATTGCACTCTACATTTAAGATCATTTGAAATGATAGAATTTGTTTTATGTACATGTCACTACAACACTTTTAAAAACCAGGCTATAATATGAGGAATTTGAGTTATATTTTTCCTACAATCGAAACTGGTCACTTAATGAATGAAGCTTCTAGTACCCCAGCAGCTGTGAGAGCAAACAGACTACCTGGAGGTCATGTTTTTATACCTTTTCTTCTTTTGACCTCTTAAGTGGCTTTTGTTCTTGAGAAACCTCTAACTACGCTCTATGCCAAACAGATAACAGACATGGAAAACAAACATTTCCAGCAAACATCTGTTACTTAAAGTAATACAGGTGCTTGGGAGATCAAGGTCTACAATATGGGTTTCATGAGGTGTAAGCTAGTGAGAATCTGTCCCCGTTGACATCTACTCATCTGATACTGTCAACAGCCTGAACACACAAAACGGGTTAGAGCTTTAAACAGCACTGAAAAGAAAAAAATACATCAGACAAGTTTCATACTATAACATAATGTTCTCACAGTCAGTTTCACTTTCTACAAACTTAGTTTTCTGTGGCCTGCCACAAGCCAGATATTAAAAGGAAAGTTCTAGAAATAATTTATAATTTTAAATAGATTTATTGATAGAGCTTTGTTATGATTGTTCTAGTTTATTATTACCACTGTTAATTTCTGGCTGCAACTAATTTATAAATTAAGCTTTATCATAGAGGTGTATGTACAATGTGAAAACAGCCTAAAGAATACAAGGTCCAAGGCTACCTATCCATGGAGACATGAATCCACCAGTGCTATTGGAACACATCCCTGGGGGATGAGGGGTAACTATGCTTCTCCTTTGGATTTACTTCATGGGTCAGTAGCTTCGGTTAGTGCTAGAATTGCAAAGTATAAATATCAGCAGTAAACCCTGGGGCAACTATGTTTGTGCGGGCAAAATGCTCACTCTGCAATTAAGGGAGGGCAAGTATCCGTGAATCACTCTTCCTGCGTTCTGACAGGCCCCGGAGCATGGCTCAGGGCTAGGAACGCAAAGAGATGCTGTAAAAAGCCAATGGCTACTTCTGTTTGTGATGCTGCAACCTGGAAGCTGAAAACTTCAGGCTAAAAAGTGCATCAAAGCAGGTGAAGGTTTGTGGATACAGAGTACTACAATTAACCAAGGATGTCGAGCCAAAGTCTTTTTACAACTCACAGGATAACTAATTTCACGTGGGTTTTTACTCTGCCTCCCATCAGCATCCAGACTTCTCCTTGTGAACGCACTGGCTAAACTGAAGTAAATACTTGCAGGTCCGCCTAACACACCCTGTTTTCTCTCCAAGGAAATGTACTCAGTATGGAGCATGGGGCCAGAATCCCAACAGTTCGGCCTTCCTTGCCTACCCCTGGAAGCTTCCCTCAGATCGTGCACAGAGTCTGCTGATGTCACAACCTGACAAATAAAAACACCTCACGACTGGAAGCCAGATACAGCACTGGCACCATGCAAAGACAGACACTAGAAGAGGAACCCAACCACGGAGAATGAATGAAAGAAACGAGACAGACAAAGGGAAACACAAGAGATGAGGCATGCTGTACTTACAACTTTCAGCCTGATAGTCTGGCACAAACTGCTCATCATTGTCAGGTACCTGAGCTGAAGAAGAAAAAACAAAGTGTTTAAAAATTAAGAGAGGAACCGCCAAGACATAAGGAATGTCACGTCAGCTGTGTCAAGCAAGGCCTATTTTGATGGAGCTCAGGCCTGTGATTGTTTGCCAATAGCCTCCTCTTTAAAGCTGTCTTGACCGCATTGGAAAAGGAAACTAAAAAGTCCATGGATGCAACTGGAGAAGATGCGTGTGTCAGAAATACCGTGGTGGCAGGTGTGGTCCCTCTGAGGTTCCCCTGCCAGACGGAATTAAAGAGACGGCAAATAAAAGGTGCCAGGTTCCTGGGTCCTGCACAAATGCACCTTGCACACTGATGCACCTTGCACACGAAGTTGTGCTAAAGGCACGTGCATTCACCCACTGCTGGTGCTTAAGCAGACCATGGCAGTGAACTATGCGGACTTTTTTTTCAAGTGATGTGCAGCAATCATACAAATCCCCCACATTTTTTGAAATGATTTCTTTGGGTAAGTTCTGTCTCCTGCCGATAACTACCATAATTAAACACATTTGCCCTAAATTTGTTCAAAGCAAGCTATAAAGCTTTAAAAATGAAAAAAGCGTCATTGACTTGGGCCACATGTAACAAAGCAATATATTTTAACAGTTGTATTCACAATAAAAATAACATACAATAAAACAAATGTCATCTTTTCATGCAAAATATTTTCCTGGCTATGCTAGCCAGCACTGAGGAATCTCACCATTTGTCAGCCCCTATGGTCAGTTGACTTCCGGTTTTATTAAAGGAAAAGGACTAATTGGGCAAACATAACACATTTGGCTGCAACGAAAGTGCAAGTCCATTCTTTCACCTTGCAGTGTTTATTGCCTTAGATGTGGACAGTGAAATAACCTGTTCAATCTCGTAGGATATTACTAAGTTTTCAAACACACACAAATATGCATACCTTTTGTAGAAACAAACTACACAGAACAGAAATCAGGTTACTTGTAACTTGGTAAACATGTAATGAACTGTCATCCTTATTAGCTCTCAATGTGATCTCATTAGCTAGTAATACTTTACTAATATTGTATAATACTGTAAATTTTTATCCGATCAAGTTATATTAAAACAGATGTCAATCAAATTTTTTTTGAACAAACTTATTTTGTGTAGGGAATGTTAATTAAAGTAATCAATCTTAGCCAGGCATGTAATTGCAGTATTTGGAAGGCTGAGGCTCATCCATAGTATAAGGCTAGCATGAGGCACATAGTGAGCTCCGGGCTAGACTAGGCTGCAAGTTGGGACTCTGTCTTAAAAATCAAATATCAACAACAACAACAATAGCAATAATTACTCTCTGTTAAAATGTTTTAGGCTGATAAGTGACTTAAGAAAAAATCCATATTTAAAAAAAAGAATTTCATGATATAATTCCATGTAAAAACAGAAGACAGTCTCAATAGGTTTTTCTTTTCTAAGTATATCTTTGTAAATAGAAACATTTTGATGAATAAAACATATGCTACCTTGGTCAAGAATATAACTATCCCAGGATAGTTTTGCCTAATATTAAAATGTATATACCACAGAGTTGTTCTCTAATACCAATATTTTATGGAAGACACACTATTTTTCCCTTATACCTGTACTTTATGGAAGACACACCATTCCCTACTGCCAATAAAAAAATAAATAAATAACCAACAGTAATTTCAAGTCACAACTGGTACCAACTTGATCAGCCCACGCTAGAAGCAAGTTTTTCTTCTTATTCCACCGATATTTGATGCTATGTTTAACAACTTTCAAGTCAGACAAATTTCACCTCACAGACTGATGACTTGCCACCCCAACACTGCAACTTGATGTAACACTAAGGGGATTTTTGAAACCAATAAATGGAGTAGTTTAAGCATGATCCCAGATAATTGGATATTAGATATATTCTTTACAATCTCTACCACCACCACCCAAAAAGTCACACTCATAAATGCACTCACAAGCATTATCATGGCCAGTTTAGTGTTTTTATGTCTAACAAACATGACTGAACAAAGATGGGTGGTGGTGGTGCATGCCTTTAATCCCAGCACTCGAGAGACAGAGGCAGGCAGATCTCTGTGAGTTCAAGGCCAGCCTGGTCTACAGAGCAAGTTTCAGGATACCCAGGGCTACACAGAGAAACCCTGTCTCAAAAAATAAAAAATTAAAAAAAAAACTGATAAGAGGAGAAAAAGGGGGTTGAATTAGCATTCTCTTAGCTGTTAACAAAGAATTTTTGCTACTGACAACATAGTTTTTGACTTTCTGCTCAGATTGATGAATTACACATGAAGAAATGTATTTTATAATGTCTTTTTACATATAAAATAATTACAAATGTTTTAATATATTTAATAACAGCAAATAAATAATCAAATACTGACCTTTTAGAAAATATATCCATATTTTAATTTTTCCTCTAAATTATTAGCTAAACAAACACAGGCCAGGTGTGGTGACACACACCTTCAGTCCCAGCACATGAGAAACAAAGGCAGGTGGATTTCTGAGTTTGAGGCCCTCTTGGTCTACAGAGTAAGTTCCAGGACATCCAGGGCTACCCAGAGTAACCAAAAACAAAAAACAAAAAGCAAAACAGATATAAAAATTGAGGTACAAAATATGCTTTTAAAAAGCTAACATTTGGGGCCAGAGAGATGGCTAAGTGGTTAAGACCTCTTGCTGCTTTTTCAGAGGACCCATGTTCGATTCCCAGCACCTAGCACCCCACATGGTGGCTCACACCATGTACAATTCCAGTTCCAGGGGACCCGATCTCCATGGGAACCAGGCACACACATGGTGCACAGACATACTTGCAGCCACAGTATTCACACACATAAAATAATGACATCATTTTTTATTTAAAGTCAACCTTCATTCCAGTGTAGTGGCACAAAGCAGACAAATAAACTAAATAAAATAAAATAAAATATCATTTACAATAATCTAATGAAAATCTAATGCTTGTTTATAGGAATGGTTGAAAACAGGTAGTGAGTTATTCGCAATGTAATATGCTTGCATGGATATGCTCAGACAGACCTTTTCCTCAGCTTCGCAGGATAGAGCTGCAGCTCCATAGAACAGATCACATGAGGAGCGGCATGAAAGGCCCCAGTGGGTGTGTGGTATGTGCTGGTTGTTGGCCTATGCATGGGGCTAGCGGAAATACGTAAGGGACAGGAGAATCTAGAAGGTGTATCTCACAGTACAGAGAAAATAGCTCCATACTAACAATTTGTAAAAAGAGTAAGGATGAAGGATGCTATTTCTGTTCTAACTCCTTAGCATACTGAATAAGTACTTCACACTTATGCTTGAACATATTACAGAATTTTAACAAAAAACATATGACTCACATTTTCACAGAAGCTAATCTTAAGAAACTGAATAGACTGAACGAAACAGCACGCTACTGAAATAGACAAAGGCTTAAGTCTACCTCCAACTTCAAGCTGGAGTAAAAGGAAAGCGTTTAACTAAAAACACAATTTGGATTTGGGCAAGGAAACTATGACACAGTATCATCACTCTTGTATCATGTATTTTCTTCCTTAATTCACAAAAATTCTATGAAGGAGCAGACTACAGCTGCCTGAAATATTGTTGCAAGCCATACCAAACCCAAAGTTGAAAATTAACAATATAAGCCAATCTAATTATTTTTAAATGTTTTTATTATTACATTACTGTCTAGTCTAAGCTATGCTTGAAGTGATTGTCTTTGGAGAATGAAAATGTTTCAGTACACAATGTAATAAAAGAGGAAGGAGAAGAAAAGAATGGAGAAGGGGAGAAAATATATAGCCAAGAGCAGTAAAAGGCTTTCATGAACACTGAGCACGTAGATTTTATTGGTAATAGCTAAAGCAACTCTATCAGTTCATTGCACATTAATGGACCAGTTGCGATTGAGTCTCTGAATCTTTGCTTTAAAGGGATAGTAGCCACACTCTCAGCTTTTGGCCTTCTCTAGCTTCCTATCCAATGCTGCTCTTTAATGCTCTTTCCTGCTTCTACACAGCAGCACTGTAGGAAAGAGATTCATAAAAGTATTAATCGCAACCAAAATGTCACAGAATCAATGCCCTACTTTCAGACTTGACTATCGGTTCTTAAGCATCAGTGCCCTGGGGAAGAGCAGTTTTAAATACAGCTTGCTTTTACTTTATGCCGATTTCCAACTTTTAAATAAAACAATATTCATTGCTTAAGAAATGGTGAACGTTTAAAATTTTTTCAACTTTAGCTGCAGGCAAGTAAAAACCCTCTTATTCCTACAAACAGCTGTCTGATGAGTTTTCTTTTAAAGCCAACGAGGGTGGAGGGAGTTGGGAAAATTACAAATGAAACAAATGTCAAGTATTAAAGGGGTTAATATTTAATTAAAACCAGTTCTATCCACTGTAACAATGACCTGGAGCCAAACAAGGCGGAAGATGTATGACTCATTCTTTCTACCCGTGAATGAGACAGCTGATCTCCTCAGCATTTCCTCAAGACAAGCAGGCAGAACTGGATTTCTGCCTCCATTCACAAAAACACAGTCCAGCATGAACCATGTGGCCCAACCGCAATCGTTCCATGTCACACCCTTCCAGAGAACTAAAGCAAGTAAGCTGAACTTGCTGCTGCGTAAACACCGATTTTATTGCTCTGTCTCAAACAGATCCATTAGGAAACACATTAAAATAAGTGACAGAGAGAGAGAGGGGACGGGAGGGAGACAAGAACACAAGACGTACACACACTTATTTCATCCATCATATTTTATGGGGTACCTTGGTCCAAAACCATGGATGTACAAAACTTAGGAAAGAAAGTGGACAATAAGGAAAGGTGACGAAGGAAGGAGGAAAGAGAAAGGAGGAGATGAGAGGCGGGGGAGGGGAAAAGGAAGGGCCACTCAAAGGGGTAGAGGTACCAGAAGTGATAAGACACTTGCTGAGCATGTGGGAAGCCCTAAGTTTGATTCTCAGTAGCAAAATAATACCAGTGATAAAAAAAACACATGGACTTTTTTTTTTCACTTGTCTGTCATTCAAGTTTTGAGTCATAAGAATGTAACGTATTATAGCTGAGGTTTGTAGCATTCAGATCCAGAGTTTAGGAGCAAATTTATCTGAAGAAATTTAAATTTTATTTTCAGTAAAACAAGAAAATCAACATTTGCACTGTGGTACTCCTTCTAATCCTAAAATGAGGCTTCAGCCCATGGAACAAAATAATCATGCATCCACTAAGCCTAGTTTTATACCACATCCGGTTTTAACATTAAAATGATTGCAAAGTAAAAGCATTAATTAGTGCAGAAATATAAACATATTTAAGTAGAAAGGGGAGGGCACTTCCCTAGACAGAAAGTCCTTTAATGCTGGACACACTCTTTATGTATGCAGGAAAACAGGAAGGTCTCAAGTCAGCTGCAGTTTCTAACTAAACTGACCTTCAGTGGCTTAAAAACTGAAAAGGGAAGCCCGGAGCCAGGCAGCGGCAGTCTGCAGTCAGATCTTCTCCCTCTACTTCCACACAGGCCTGACTCTATCATTCTTCTTGTTTTTAATTACAAAATTGTACATAAATCAAAGAAATAAAGTTGCACTGCAACATGCAACATATTACACATTCTCTGCAACTCAACTGGAAAAGTTCAGCACCATTTCACATGTCAGCACTTTCTAAAAACCCTATACTGTGCTCCACCAAATCAAATTTTTCTATTTAAAAATAAGTTCTCTTCTTTTGTAAGTAGATCACAGATGAGCTACATTTGCATTCTTCCAGTGGATATTTAGAAGTAAAATGCATTCATTCTACCTGCTACCTTTACTCCCACTGAGGGTTCTTTCACATCTGATAGAGCTTTCTGGTGCAACAAAACAGGGCCATGGTAGCAGCCACTACTCTAACACACCACACACACACACACACACACACACACACACACACACACACACACACACACACACGAATCATCTCCCATCCAATTCCAAGAACCTGTATGGACTTCCTTAATGCTGAACTATCAGATCCTATTTTAGATAATCGTATAAAATACTAAAGCTATAAAAACTGCACCAAATAAAAAGAAATATGAGCATATCCAATGCCAATGTTGTGTTCTACTTTCTTTTTAAAGTAGAGTGTTTGAACAATCAAATTGAGTGCCTCAAGAGTAATGTGTACAGTGGAGGTCACATGTAGAGAATAACAGCAACTCATATTCCCAGTAAGTATCATAAAGACATAGTTTGGACATAAATTTTGTAAAAGAAGCCAAACTGAGGAAAATGTAGTCCGTCTCTATTTCTAGGCCAACGTGACCATTATTTGACAATTTCATAAAATCAAAAGGCGATCTCCTTATTTGTATGAGATAATAATGAAGTTTGGTGTGGAACACTGTTTTTAGTGATGAAACTCTAAGGTGTAGCTGTAACTGCGCCCTGAAACTTGGCTTCACTGTGTCACTGGAAGCCTTTCACCCTGGTGGGGGTGAATCACCACTGGTGACTTTCTCCTCAAGCTCACTCATCACAGAGAATCTCAAGACACAAAGACCACAAGAAAATAGGACAAAAGTAGTCATGTTTCACATACACCGTATGCTGAAATACATTCTTTTCCTGTAAGTTGTGTTAGTCGGTAAATGCTGACAGAACACTTGTAGAAATAGGCAATGCTTCTTGGACTTGTCTCTTACTCCCTTCTGCTTCTGTTCCCCAAATAAAAAGTTTTGGACAGCACTTAACTATATATAGCTTTCAAAACAAGTTAAGAACAAAAAGTTGCCACGATGTTGATAGGAGTGATATTTGAACTAGTTATTTCAAGGGATCAAATAATTCCAATTGCCTGTCAGTAGCAATCTAATTCAAAGGACTGAGAATCAATAAAGAATTGTCCATAGTGACGTCCAATATGAAGCAGCTAAGGTAACATTTAAAACAAGTGTAGTCTCTATTCCTTTATCTGGTACTGTGGTCATTGAAAACATTCTTTTGCATTGTGTTATGTTTATTATAAGCCTTTCAATTGCAGCATTAGTGCTAGGAAAGTGCTTATAATGTGAAGCTGCATCCTATAAACATGTTTTAGATTTCTGCGTGTGGATGAAGCTGCAGGGAAGAATGCAATTATATTTTTTAGAGAGGACTGTAGTAGATTGAATACACAAACTCTATCATTATCCTCTGAGAGTCCTGTCTTATCTACCTCAACTGTTCTTCAGAGATCAAACATATTTCATAACCTACAAGAATTTACTCATGACTAATCAATATGTTATACTGTGTATAATTTATAAAAATTCTTACAGGAAAAAATTCAGAATTCTAAGATGCATCATTTCTATCTAGGGACTTTGAGGGTTTTTTTTTTTTTTAATGTGATTATCATATGACACTTTGTAGCAAACTGGATTCTCATGTCTGAAAAGACTTTTAGAGACCTGTTAGACTTTCCAGAGGGATTCCAACTCATGGGAGAAACTTGGTAAATTGCCAATGATGTCTTTTTAAGAGATCAAAATGCCTTAAAATTCTATGATCATTTCCTTAGCTATGGAATGTTAAGAAAAGAAATAAGTTTATAGTTTGCCAGTTAGGTAATCCATCAATATCTGCCTGTCCAGCAGAGCAGAAATGAACAAAACTAGCAACAAATTAAATAGTCTAATTTTGGAAATCTCTTATTGTTCAAGTTGTAAGATAAGCCAAATTAAAATATATGTGCACAATAATTATATTTAATTGCTAAGGACTAAAAATAAATGTGTATTCTATTAACACTAAAGAAACCTTATTATTAGATTTTTAAAAATTATCTTAATAAATTTTGCTTACATCATAACTGGATAAATTAATGTAACTACTTTGAAAATGTTTATATTATTCTAAAATGCAGTTTGTAAATAGTAGCACACCTGGGTAGTCAATAAAAAACCTCCAACTTAATTTCTGAATTTAATTAAGCTTACGAATTCTTTTCTAAGTAAAAGCCCAGGTTGCTCCAAATACATTAGTCCTTATCTAGGTTTACTTTTTATAAAGATAAGTCTTCAGAGCTGATTTGCAGGTAATAAAGAGATAAGAATATTCCATACTGTTTTAAAAGACAAACTCGGATAAATTATTCAACTCTCTTATCTGAAGTCTAAGACACAAATAAAACAAGGGATAAGTGAAAAATGAAAGAAAGAAAATGTACTGAAAATGATAAAAGTCTGCCACAGATCCACATTTTAAAATTCCAGAAACAGCTGCTATGCACATTCAAAATCTGCCAGCCAGTGCACTGACTTGGATTCAGTTTTCAAATCTAAACATCTTAAGAACCAATAAATCACCCACAACAATTAAGGTAAGTATGATAACTTATTTTGGATAAGCAAGTAAATTCTTGAATAAACAAAATTCTAAATAACTTTCAGCTTGGCAAACCCGACATATAAAAGTGAATGCAAGAGCCTCTGCGATTTTTCATGAATTAGCTGTTTCAATACATGGTTTATGTTGCAATACTAAGTAATCTATTGCAGTAAGTTTCACTTAAAGACAAGCAAAAATGACCTTAAATTTAAAAAACAAAACTTTAACTAATACTTACCATTCATTAACATATAAATGCAATCCCTCTTTCAAAGGATAATTAAGAGCTATTTAACTTAAATGATTTTGAATCATTTAAGATTGTAAAAGCCTTCTGAAGAACTAGAATTATCAGCAAGACAAAGAAACTTGTTTACATGCTAAGAGCAACTTGATCAACTGCACACAAGACCATAGCTAAAAGCTCATCTGTCTACCTCAGAGCAGCTCCAGCAGTCCTGGGTCCCATGTGGAGACTCTCCCGTTCACTTTAAACCATCTTGAAAATCGGTTGCCAGAGTCAGATTCCCCACAGAAAGTATATATACATATATATGTACCATAATATACTAAATATTTAACAAAATATACTAAATATTTAAATATCAGCAACTTTCTCATTACACACACACACACACACACACACACACACACACAAAATAATAAAATAACATCTCACAAACATGGCAATTCCAAAAGAAAATACTAAAATTGTAGATACCAACAAAAATCCTTCTACCTTAAGCATATCTGAACATATGTCAAGCTTTACTAAGTCACATCTCATTGTCCCAATAAACAAAGTTGCACACAATAAAAGATATAATAGGTTGTTGTGTGGATTTTTTTTTAAATCCAAAATGCCATTAAATGTCTCCACATTAAATCCTAATAAAAGTGACAAGACATCAAAAGTCAAACTTCGACAAACATTACATGCATCACAACACACAAAACAATTTTAAAATCTTCAACTCCCACTAAAAGATTGGCTTTAAACCCACAGATTTCCTAACTGTGAGATACACACCTAAGGTTCTGTGCTGTGAACACGGAGGGAAGAAGACACCTGCACTTAAATCTTGAAGCATCCCGTCCTGATGAGCCCAGAGAAACTAATTTCTGCCATCAGAGAAGTCCTCCACCAGAACACCAAATAATCATATGCGCTGCTCTAAAGGAAACAGCAAGCCAGCCGGTTCTGGCTCGAGGTCTCTCGAGGTACAATAATATAAACCTGATCAATTGCAATTAAAATCTGAACAGAGACTTAGAACCTGAAGTCTTGGTGCATTAGTTCTTGCCAAAAGCAGATGTGATTGTGAGCTGGAAGCAATTTCTCCTGGTAATTTGTGATGACACTGGGTAGTGCAGCCCCAGAGTCCCCAAAGACAAGCTCATCAGAGGCTCTAATGTATTCATGACACATGAGGTGGCTCTTTTAGAGCTCAATTAATTGGGTTGAACATTAAGGCAGCAAGTTCAGGATTCCCTCCATCCCCTTCTAGAGCTGCTTTTCCCCTTTAAAACATTTTTTTTTTTTGCCTTACCTTCAGCAAGCCATGTTTCTTGTAACTGACTCAGATCCTGAAAGAGTTCTAAAAAGCAAGGAAAAGACACATAAGACTCAACAGTCTGCAGTCTTCATTAACTGAAAACGTTTGTCATGATGCTGGCATTCAGGACAACATCAACTGAACACAGGAGTCATCGCTGAGTGAATAATCCTGCTTACTTATGACATCGATTAGGTGATACTTAGGAGATCTCTTTAGACAACTAAATAATATCAATTATCTTTTTTCTCTTTAACAAGTAATTAAGAAGTAAGCTCAGAGAGAATGAAAAACACGCATGCACTAAAGTTCACCCAGGTGTTGAACTAAAGATTATCTAAGTACACTTAACTCTTGCTAAAATAGGACCAGGGTAAAGATTAGAGAGACAAAACATCTTCTAAGTTTATAAACAAAGTCCCAACAGAGCTTGAGTCAACTCCCAAGTTATATTTTCCAGCCCAATGCCTCGACACTAACAGGGGAAACTTCATATCCAGGCATTTAAAGAAAAACTTCTGCATTAGCAGACTTACAAAAGTCGAAGACAGACAGTGCCCTGGCTTTGCTTTATTATCAGTTCCAAACTGTATTCTGGCATTTGGGGTGTGGGGTGGGCTTGTAGGGAGGGAGGTATCTAATAAGAATGGAAATTTGATTAAGTTTCAGAATTAAGTATACTTAATTTAAATTCGAACTGAACTTTGGTAACTGAGTCTAAGTTTCTTCAGTCCGGTATGAATGCCGCACAGAATTGAAATAATTCCTAATATATTGACCTTTTACCAACAGTTTATAGAAGAATCTGAAGCCTCATTTACCAAATAATATAATAACTACTCATTAAGCCTGAAGTTTGATCTAATGAACACTTCAAGGCCTATTAACAAGATGTTATGACTTCACAATATAGTCATCAAGCTCACTCATAAAATTTCAACAGTAGTATATGGCTTCATTTATATTGTTTAACTTGTAATAAAGTTGAAAGAAAAACGTAAGCAGTGTGCATAGCTGCTTACTTTGTCCCAGGCTGTTAGATAGTTTTCAATTGTTACCTCAGTGTAGGGGATTAACAGTTATATGCCATATGGACAAGAACAAACACGAAATAATGTTTAAAAGAAGGTCACTGTTAGGTGTTAATTTCCTTCTTTCATTAGTTTGTGACCAGACCATAAAATAGTCTCCAAGGCAAACTCAGTGTGGGAATGATTGCGTGTCAAGTCCATGTTAAATTCAGGAGTTTCAATGTTTGTTATTTTTTAGATGAGATTGAAATGGGCCTCTTCTTTGGAGGGTATCAGTAAGAGAGGGGTTCAGCTCAGAGTCAAACCTCACCTTCTGAATCATGAGCCAGATCTCTGTTAATGAATTTTCTTTTCCTGACATTTGTTGGTTTCTCGTTACAATTTCTCCCACGCTGACTCTACAAAGGGAAAGATAAAATCCTTTAAAACATAAACCTCAGATGTCACACATGAAAAAAAAAACCATGCATACATAACATAAGCCTACTGGATCCTCTCTCTGAGTAGAAAAAAAAAATATTGGCGTTCATAGGAGAACTCCAATATGTATTGTGGGACTTGGACGGTGAAAGCCCAGGCTGAGAGTTCAACAGCAAAGGTGAGTGGCTTCCCAGGGCAGACCCAACACTCCTGCTCATTCTCGTCATAGTTACATGTAATCTCAGCATCGAAACATTAAGCTAGAACACTTAATGCTTTTTTTGTTTTTTACTAAATCAACTCTAGATTAAAACGGTGATTCCATTCTCTCTCAGACAACACCCCCACCCGCAGTAAGAGAAGCCCAAAGAATGGAAAACTGAAAAAGCGAGGAAATGAGAGGGGAGAAAAGCAACCCCCGCCCCAAGACACCCCATGTAAACAAAAAGTGTCAGCATTTGTCTCAACTTCGTTCTTTTCAATGTGGCAGACAAACCCAGCCACAAACTTTGAGTACAGCTGCAGCTGCCCTCCGTCGTCTCCGCTTCCACTCATCGTGGGCACTTTGACCAGAAGGGGTCTGAAAACAAAACTATGCCTTATCCAAATCACTCAAAGGTAAGCTCATTTTGTAGATGGGTCTTCAAGAAGCAGAGTCGCCCTACAGTGGCAACAAAGCAGATAAAGTGTCTGCAGTCCCAACCCCTGCCCCCTCCCTTCGCATCTCTCGCTCTCCCCACCCCCGTCCGAGTCAAGTTTATAAACAGCAACTTTCGAACTGATCACTCACGTTGGTGACCACGTAAGGCACTTGCTGGTCATAAAATCCATCCATTTTGCTGCTCTTCGCAAATATTAGCTCAGTGTTTTAGATTCTGAGCATTTAGCTGGAGATTTCCTCGGGATCTGGACTTCTATCAACCTAGAGGGGAACAAGATGGCTTTTAGGCTTTAAAAAATCATGAATGAAGCTCTTGCATTTGCATAGCTAATTGCCCTCGACAGTCCCATTCACAAAAATAACCCTCCCCTACGCCGCCTTCTTCACCTGGATCCAAAGAGAGCTAAGAGAGTTCACAATTTACATATTTTCGGTCGTATCAAAAAATCCTAACAAGAGGCAGTGTATTTATTTACACTCTGGACGTTCCCTGCTCAGTCAGTGTATCCCAGGCAGCTCTGATTCGCAAACGTGTGCAAAACTAGCAATGGCGATCAACGAGACTTGCTTTTCACCTAACGGGACTAAAGAGAAAGAGACACCTCTTTCATAAGGATAGTTTTTGCAACCCACAACCATGCAATTATCTGGAGAGACATAAAAAGTTGTTGGAAAGACCCACCTGAAGGCCACGCTAGGCGAACGGCTGCAAAAAATTCCCTCCAAATTTAATAAAAACATTAATTATTGCCCAGCACTTCCCCTTGGAAGCCGAAAGCGCCTCTGACCGAGCTCAATTCGGTGGTTTTTCCTCTACTTCTCCTCCAGGGGCCTCCAATCCAAACTGATGGATCGCTGCCTCCCATTGGCTCCACGTCTCTTTCACAAGATCAGATTTCGGGCTGTCAATCAGGCGCCTTTCGGCCCCTTCCCTTGGGTCTCCTGCGCCCCTCTTGCCTATGTGACCGCTCTGCGGGGAGGCGCAGGGTCGGCACCCAGAAAAGCCGCCAAGGAAACCTTTCTAACTCGCTGTTTGGTCAAGACCCGGGGAATAGTGAAACCTAGTGTACCGAGCCCACCAGTTCTCTATCCTAGCGTGTTTGATCCATTATTAGGCAGATGTCCTTAAAGCCTTGTCGTGAGGTTCAGGTACAGATCTACAAAGCGAGTGTCCCTAATCCCTCTTCTCTACCTCTGACCCGGAGCCCACCGCACGCTCCAGCCTCGCTCCCCACTAGCTTTCGGCCCAAGCTATTTTCTCATTTTTCAACACTAACCAACACTATAGGGATTATTGGACCTTTAAAAGAAATACATTCTCAACTCAAACGACCTCCTTTTGTCCGTAGGATTTAAAAATACTGTAAGGAAAGCAAGCGGGAGAAGCTGCTTCTTAGGAGAGGTGGTATCGGGAGGGAGGATCTGGAGGAGTACGGAGCAGCGAAGGCGAGGAAAGTATAAAAATCAGATTCACTCTGGCGGGTGCTGAGAAAAAAAAAAAAGAAAAAGAAAGCTCCTGCAGGCCACAGAGGGGTGGGGGAGGACTGGGTAGTTCAGATGTGTCCCCCACCCACCCACCCCCGACCCGCCGTTTCCGGAGCTTTTGTTATGTATACAGAGAGGCGGAGAGTGTCACTTACTGTACTTGAGGATTTCACTTCCTCCACCGAGGAGGGGAGGGCAGAGCGGGAGAGCTCGGGTTACAAGGACAATGATGGGACGTTTGGAAGCAAGGACATCTCTGAAGCCGCCTGCCCACGGGGCTTAGCTCAGATGTCCCCCCCCCGCGCCCCCCAGCTGCTGTCCCACCCGGGATAGGAGGGAGGGAGGAGGGGACCCGGAGCCTCATGGTGCTGAAAGTCACTCGAGACCCTAGCGGCGACCTAGGCTGGTGACTAGAGGACTTTTCCAGCAGCTGTTTCGCCCGTTGACAACGTGCTGCCGTTCTCTATTTCTATCTGAAAAGTTTCTTTCCTTAAATGGAACGTGGTGGAGACCTTCAAACCGGAGCGTGCGCGCCTGGCACTCCAGACCCGCCGAGGAAGAGCGAGGTCTATGACAAAACACTCTGCGTTTCCTCTTGGGGAAAGTGTAGTTTTCGAGGGCACACACAATACTTGGCCCGGAGACTAGTCCGAGCACCTCTCGTCCCCTTTGAGAGAGAGCTGCATCAGAGCCTGGGCGACCGCTGCGTTAGGAGCGCCGCGAAGCTGGAGTCGGGAAGCTCTGGATTGCTTTGTGGGGGTGCAACCAGAGCAGGGGACAATAGCGCGGGTACCCAGCCGACCTGCAAACCCGGGCAAGACAGCAACAGTTTCCAAAGCCCTTTTCGGAGGCCAGAACCAGACAGGTATCCAGGGCAACCGGGAGAGGGCGGAGCTTCTCCAAAGGCCCCGCGAGTCTGTCCCTGCAGCCAATGAGGAACCGTAGATTTCCAGTCCATTGTTGTTTATTGCTGACCCCGCAGCGCTCCGCCAGCGGATTGGCTACTTTCGAGCAGGGGGTGTTGCCCGTGCCTTCCCCTTAACCACCTTTCGGCTCCATTCACAAAAATCCCAATCTCTCTGGGTCACGTGGTTAGGGGCGTGGAGGGACAAGGAAAAAGATACAACAAAGGCCCAAGTTCCCAACAGCACAAAAGTTTTTATTCGTCACTGCCTCCCCTATGCACCCTTGGTAACAAATGACAGTAGGTGAGGAAAAGGACTTTGGGTCTAAGGGGTCTGAGAGAGTAAGGAGAACGAAGTCCAGGTAAAAAGAACACTCACAGAGGATAATTTCGGGGTGCCCTGCAGAAAATCCTGCAAAAGAACAGAGAACTAAGAGTGGGGAGAAAGCTTAGAAAGGACTAACAACTTAAGCTTGCTCTTCATCAAGAGGCTGTTTAAGCGTGCAAGCTGTCTCTACAGACAGTATTCAGCGTTCTCCTCTTAACGTTCTTTTGTTTACAATTCTACTTTTGATTTATCCCAGTGTGATGTTCTCTCCAACTTCTTTTAGTCCAAGTTTTCAATGACTGGCAGTTTTAGTTCCGGCTTCCGAAGTCCATCAACCCTACACAGGCCCCGTCACCTCTTAGGACGGTCCATCCTGCTGCAGGGGCTCCACATCTCCGCCTTGCAGCTCTGACTCTGACAGAGGTTGAAAGTGACGTTTTTACGTGACTAAGCTGCCATTCTCTAGACAGCTCCTCCAAGCAGACTGAACCTCCGAGCTAAGAGTGTGCTTTTTTGTGACCAGACATCTGTCTCACCGAAGCTTTCTCTGGCTTCATAGTCAAGGAGACGTTCTCTCTCTTGCTTGCTCTGCTCCTGGCTACTGAATGAAACACTAGCTAGCCTGGCGCCTAGTTATGGTCTATGCTTGTCACTGAGGAAAAGAACAATAGATCCAGTAGATCCAATAGCAGAAGGTAACCAAAGGGTTGAGAATTTAATTTTCGATTGTGTTACAGAGATGAAAACTGTCTGCAGAAGCAGCTGTATGCATAAGAAGAGGCACTCTGGGGTTGCTCAAGTTTCCATCACTTTTTGAGACTGTCTTTTTAAATCAGTTTAGTACACTTCAGTCCTTCTTGAATGGAAAATTTCATTTTGGCAATATTTCAAACATAGAATGGCAGCGTAGAGGCCAAGAGGCTTTGACATTTATTTACTTGTATTTTGAAATCCCATTTGGGTTTTGAAATAAGAGCTCTTGAAAGAACACACCCCCTCCCCAAGTCCAAGTCCTGTGGGTTTGTTTTTTTTTTTTGAAAGTTTTTTTAACTTGCATATAAAGCTATTTAAAGCTTTACGGTTCCTTTGCTGCTATTTTATAAAGTAAAATAATATACATTAGTGGTTTTTCTACAGCTGACTTATGACATTGAAAATGCACATTGTTAAGTAATTTAATTTCTAAAAAAATGTCTAGAAAAATATGAACTGTTGTGGTCCTGCTTTTTTAAGAATGCAGGCAGGGTGCCCATGCCTGTAATCCCAGCACTCAGGACACAGAGACAAGAGAATGGGGGCAAGTTTGAGGCTAGCCTTGTCTATAAAGCAGTTCCAGTCAAGGATACAGAAAGACACATACCCTCACTCTGAGAAAAAAAAAGTAAGTAAAATAAAATTACTAGAATAATTAAAATTTTAAAAAATCCTCAAAATTGTATTATTAAGTAAACTAGCAATTTTTGTAATTTGTTTTACTAAAATACTATATAAGTGAATTGTTGATGACCTAGTTTTTTTTTTTTTTAAACAGGACTACATCAAATAGATCAGGATAAGATATTCTGTATACCATTATACAGAATTATGAGCAATGTGAAAATAACCCAAGGGGAAATATGGTGTCTTAGCAGCATGCTGAAAGATAGCTGATAACCTCACAGGGATGTCCTTGACAAGAGAAGCAGGAATTTGAGGTGACGGTTAACAGTATCAAAGAAAGACAGAGTAGAAGACATTGTCCTCCTGCCAGTGACACTGCCTTTGTCACCTACTGAAAGTCTGTTCACCATGCAGTCAAAAAATGGCTCCTAATCCCTAGGAATGTAGATGACAGAGTGAAGGAAGTCACATACACTGCAGCTTGGATTTTATGTAACTTGGTAAAGGTAAGTTTACATTATCTCCTGGTCCTTAAAATGGGAACTACCTACTAAACCCTAAGCTAGAGTCAAAAATAATCCTGACTTGAAAAATTCCACAACAGCCACAGAAGTATTTATTAGGGAAAAAAAAAAAAAAAACTCTAGATGGAATCCAATCCCACCAATAAAGCAATGGGTTTAACATGCTTTGGGATTCAATTGTGAGTATCTGTTCTCTTTTCTTTTTTCTATGTGATTTTCCTGGTTCTCAAATGAGATTACATAAGAAACTCCTTAAGAAGTCAGGTTCCTGGACGCATTCTGTCTTGGGCACTGTGGGCTGCAGCTAGGGTGCCGGGATCTGAACCGTGGGCTGATTTCTACAGGGGTCCAAGGACAAGCTCTCGGTGTGTGCCAGTCAGACAGACATGTTTTACTTGACTGACACATTGACTTTCACAGGGAATTCACAGACAACATTTAAAATTCAAATTATATCTAACAACCCATACCAGCACCCCTGCAAGCAAATCAAACACTGATAACACTGGGCCATGAATAAAAAAAAGGAACACAAAACAGAGGAAGGACATGGCTGCCCCTAGGTATGGTGGAGGAGGAAATTTATTATGCATTTGTGGGAGAGCATAGCCCAAGGCAGGGACATCTGGGAGAGTCCAGAGTGGACATGACCAGACCGAGCTGGGTCATGTAAAGAGAATGTGAGGGGAAGTGAGAGGGGAGAGAGTGGCCAGGTCCAGTAGCCAGGAGGCCAAAGGTACAAAAACGGGTGAGTAATGAAAATGTCTGCATTACATAGAGAAGAGCCCCTCAAGGAAGGACAGCCGAACCCTTGGGATGGAGCATTCAGGGTAGAAGGTGAGGTATGACAGACACTCTCTAACAGATAGAAACTGAGGGGTGCTGAGAGAACCTGGAGACCAGAAGGCTTTGATATGCTAATTGGGCACCTCAGCCTTTGGCCAGGGTTTGAAACTTAACAGGCCAGAACTTCTAATTCTGTTGTTTTACAGCAGAAAATTGTGGAATATTCCTTTAAACTGTATGAATATATATCTCTGTGAAGCAAGATGGACATGCAGTACTGAGAAGAGGTGCCAAGCCACATGTCAAAGCATAGATGAGAAATGTGGGATAATTTAAAATGGAAGAGTTAGCTAGTAACGATCCTGAGCTGTTAGCCAAGCATTTATAGGTAATATTGAGTCTCAGTGTCGGCTACTTGGGAGTGGCTTGTAGAACAGAAACTTCCGCCTACAGAAAATAACTTGTTTGGGGTGGAAACTACCCAAAGGAAGGGCTATTTAAAGCAGCTAACATTCCTTGTGAAGGGACATGGGCTCTCAGTTTTGTCCTTATGCACTTCTGTAATTTCTGTTTTGATGTGCCACCCATGATTTTAGCTGTATGTGTGCATTCTATGTTTTCGAGTGTCTTTGTGACTTACTTCTCAAAGAAGTAGTGAAGAAAACAAACCAGGGAACACAATCTATGGTACCATGTA